TTGGAATTCGATTACACGGGAAGCCTGTGGGCACTAGGGTTGGATGAACCCATGGGCCGGTTCCGATCCGCCCTAGGGGCAAAGAAACCAAGGGGGGATGGGCCCAAGGGTCGGATGAAACCATGGGCCGGTTCAAATCCGCCCTTGGGGTCGAATGAACCGGCTGGGGGGTCGAATAACCGAGGGGGGATGGGATCCTGGGTTGGATGAACCCATGGGCCGGTTCAAATCCGCCCTTGGGGTCAAATGAACCGGCTGGGGGGTAAAAGAAACCGAGGGGGGATGGGCTCTTGATTTGGATGAACCCATGGGCCGGTTCAAATCCGCCCTTGGGGTCGAATGAACCGGGTGGGGGGTCAAATAACCGAGGGGGGATGGGATCCTCCTGGGTTGGATGAACCCATGGGCCGGTTCAAATCCGCCCCTGGGGTCCAATGGACCGGCTGGGGGGTCAAATAACCGAGGGGGGATGGGATCTTGGGTTGGATGAGCCCATGGGCCGGTTCAAATCCGCCCTAGGGGTCCAATGGACCGGGTGGGGGGTAAAAAAACCGAGGGGGGATGGGCCCAAGGGTTGGATGAGCCCATGGGCCGGTTCAAATCCGCCCTTGGGGTCAAATGAACCGGCTGGGGGGGTCAGAATGGCCGAGCGGGGATGGGCTCTTGAATTGGATGAACCCATGGGCCGGTTCAAATCCGCCCTTGGGGTCGAATGAACCGGCTGGGGGGTCGAATTACGGAGGGGGAATGGGCTCTTGGGTCGGATGAAACCATGGGCCGGTTCAAATCCGCCCTTGGGGTCAAATGAACCGGCGGGGGGGTCAAATAACCGAGGGGGGATGGGATCCTGGGTTGGATGAACCCATGGGCCGGTTCAAACCCGCCCCTGGGGTCCAATGGACCGGGCGGGGGGTAAAAAAAAACCGAGGGGGGGTGGTCCCAAGGGATGGATGAACCCATGGGCCGGTTCTAATCCGCCCTTGGGGTCAAATGAACCGGCTGGGGGGTAAAAGAAACCGAGGGGGGATGGGCTCTTGAATTGGATGAACCCATGGGCCGGTTCAAATCCGCCCTTGGGGTCGAATGAACCGGGTGGGGGGTCAAATAACCGAGGGGGGATGGGATCCTCCTGGGTTGGATGAACCCATGGGCCGGTTCAAATCCGCCCCTGGGGTCCAATGGACCGGCTGGGGGGTCAAATAACCGAGGGGGGATGGGATCTTGGGTTGGATGAGCCCATGGGCCGGTTCAGATCCGCCCTAGGTGTCCAATGGACCGGGTGGGGGGTAAAAAAACCGAGGGGGGATGGGCCCAAGGGTTGGATGAGCCCATGGGCCGGTTCAAATCCGCCCTTGGGGTCAAATGAACCGGCTGGGGGGGTCAGAATGGCCGAGCGGGGATGGGCTCTTGAATTGGATGAACCCATGGGCCGGTTCAAATCCGCCCTTGGGATCAAATGACCCGGCTGGGGGGTCCCTAGGGTCAATCTTGGCATCCCATGAACGCATAAACAGGTTGCCCCAAACGATGGCAACCCAACGTAATCCATGCCATAGGCCTATTAATACCCCAGCAAAGGGGTATTTTTCCTCTCCCCATCATTCGGCCATGTGTTTTCGGATTGCCCCAAACGACGGTAACCCAACATAATCCAGGTCATAGGCCTAGGAATACCCTAGGGAAGTGGTATTTTTCCTCTCCCCATCATTTGGCCATATGTTTTCGGATTGCCCCAAACGACGGTAACCCAACGTAATCCAGGCCATAGGCCTAGGAATACCCTAGGGAAGTGGTATTTTTCCTCTCCCCATCATTCGGCCATGTGTTTTCGGATTGCCCCAAACGACGGTAACCCAACGTAATCCAGGTCATAGGCCTAGGAATACCCTAGGGAAGTGGCATTTTTCCTCTCCCCATCATTCGGCCATATTTTTTCGGATTGCCCCAAACGACGGTAACCCAACGTAATCCAGGTCATAGGCCTAGGAATACCCTAGGGAAGTGGTATTTTTCCTCTCCCCATCATTCGGCCATGTGTTTTCGGATTGCCCCAAACGACGGTAACCCAACGTAATCCAGGTCATAGGCCTAGGAATACCCTAGGGAAGTGGTATTTTTCCTCTCCCCATCATTCGGCCATGTGTTTTCGGATTGCCCCAAACGACGGTAACCCAACGTAATCCAGGTCATAGGCCTAGGAATACTCTAGGGATGGGGCATTCTACCACTCCCCATCACTTGGGTTTCGGTTCTTGATTGCCCCAAACAATCGTAACCCAACGCAATGCAGGCCATTGGCATAGGAATACCCTGCCTAGGCTTTGACCTTGATGGTTCGATCGATCCGGACCCGAATGGGTTCGATACGAATGGGGCCGGTGAATCCGGATCCGGATGGGTTCGATCCAAATGGGTTCGATCGACTCGGATCCGGATCGATTCCATCCGAATCGGTTCGATCGAACCGGATCCGGATGGGTTCGATCGAACCGGATCCGGATGGGTTCGATCGATCCGGATCCGGATGGGTTCGATAAGGATGGGTTCGATCGACTCGGATCCGGATGGGTTCGATACGAATGGGTTCGATCGACTCGGATCCGGATTGGTTCGATCGACTCGGATCCGGATCGATTCCATCCGAATGGGTTCGATCGAACCGGATCCGGATGGGTTCGATCGATCCGCACCCGGGTGGGTTCGATCCAAATGGGTTCGACCGACTCGGATCCGGATCGATTCCATCCGAATCGGTTCGATCGAACCGGATCCGGATGGGTTCGATCCGGATCCGGATGGGTTCGATAAGGATGGGTTCGATCCGAATGGGTTCGATCGACTCGGATCCGGATGGGTTCGATCCGAATGGGTTCGATCGACTCGGATCCGGATTGGTTCGATCGACTCGGATCCGGATCGATTCCATCCGAATGGGTTCGATCGAACCGGATCCGGATGGGTTCGATCGATCCGGATCCGGATGGGTTCGATCGACTCGGATCCGGATGGGTTCGATCGGCTCGGATCCGGATGGGTTCGATCGATCCGGATCCGGATGGGCTTGGGTCCGAAAGGGTTCATTTGATCCGGATCCGGACGGATTCGATCGATCCGGACCCGGGTGGGTTCGATCCGAATGGGTTCGATCGACTCGGATCCGGATGGGCTCGATAGGGATGGGTTCTATCCGAATGGGTTCGATCGACTCGGATCCGGATGGGTTCGATCGATCCGGATCCGGATGGGTTCAATTGATCCAGATCCGGATGGGTTTGATCCACACGGGTTCGATCGATCCGGATCCGGATCGGCTCGATAAGGATGGGTTCGATCGACTCGGATCCGAATGGGTTCGATCGATCCAGATCCGGATGGGTTCCATCCGAATGGGTTCGATCAAACCCATCCGGGGTCCGATCCGGATGGATTCCATCACTTGGGTTCCGGGGACTTGATTGCCCCAAACGACGGTAACCCAA